GTGGAGGGACGTTATCACGAAGGACCTATGGAGGTGAAGTCTTGGCCACAGCAGAAGATGCGCTGGGCAGGACAATATGGCGGACAAATAAGGATAAGGACAGCAGACCCTGCGAGGGACTAATGCTAGGGAGATGAAGAAGACCTGTCTCTCGGCTTCTTTCTTGCTTTAGCAACGTTCACATTCGAAAGCCCACCCATTTACAGTACTTACTGCCTTGAGATGAACTATCACGGATACAAAACAAGTTATCACAATTGATGTGGTCAGAATTTGTTTAAACCCACATAACCATGTAATTCTGAGCACTTGAAGAGATTCACAATAAATCTATGAACGAAACAGCACGAACCAACCTTTATGTTCCTAGTCGGCCAATTGCTCAATAATTTGATAAATTTTGCTGATGCTGTTGTCGTTCACGGTCACATAAAGACCTCTAAAAGTTACCGATCATTTCAGCATATTCATTGAGCTTTTGGATTTACTTTCATAATACGTGGTAACGTATTCCACAGTTTTTTTTTTCGGCTAAAAATTGTAAGTACTTAGATTACAAATTGATAGTAAATTTAATTCTAGAACTCACTTCGGATTTCTGTAGATAAAACCGAATTTCTGACACGCCAAACCAACCGTCGGTGTATAGACGATTGGCATTAGTTCTTTGATGTTATCACAAAGTACTCGATAGAAGAGCTTCTCGGTTCGATCTTGTAATGCGTCTAATTGGATGTACCTATACGAATTTTTATGACCATGTTCTCAAAATAGAAAGACATGCTGAGGGAGTGGGCGGAGCGATCAGAGCGTTCCATAGGCGGCAGACCATTGGGAAGCGTGCCCTGCCCTCAAAACACCATTGGCCGACCAAATTAGCACCGCCCCGGCAGCTCTGCCCACACTCTCACCGCAATCTCTATTCTTGAAAAAGTCTTAAGTAAGTCATAAATCACATCAAGTCGTCATAGACCGAGCGCATAAAAATTGAAATACAGACTTAGCTAGGTTGTCAGGTTGCTGCCGAAGTTTGGCCATAACCCGATATGCTTGTTGTTCTTCAGTCATGAACGCTGGTGGCAGAAGACCAGAATCCCGAGGTACTCGACGCTCAAAGCATTGAGAAAAGGCCATAAACCCTGAGAGAGAGTGCGAGTGCGAGCGTTAGCGTCTAAGAGCAATGCTTCCTACACATGTGGACTTATTCAGTCGAGAGATCCGAGCAGGCTTCGTCCTCTCTGGCCGTGGACTACGTCACGTCGTAAGCCTATGCAGAGCACTGTTTGGGATCAGCGTCAGGCGATCATCAGCCCCCGTACTACCAACGCCGAGTCGTTGAAATAGCGTCCTCAACACCGTGCTTGAACCTGGATAACCTTTAAAGTGATCAAACACCTTGAGAGCGTATATTCAATGGCAACTAATGACTTGAATTTTCTACAACAATTTCACAAAATCGTAGCTATTCGATGATTGTAGCGCAAGAAGTCGCGCGACAGAGCGTACGTAAGCAAAGCTATGGCGCTTTTTCAGAACTCTAGAGACGCGAGTGTCCGCCCTTGCTAGCCGCTCTGTCTCTAAGCGTGTGTCTCACTATAATTCCTCTGGCACACAACCGGCTCTCAGCGGGCATCATGCCCAATCTCACAGAAAACACTCAATTCACATTTTCTATACCTTCCTGCCCCTTTCAACCAACTGGCGTCCACTATTATGCTTTCATTTTGGAAGCAAAATGATCTCATCCCTTAATGTATAGCACGCCTTAAAGGAGGAATTCACGATTAGAATGAAGGTCGAAGAAAGGGAAACTGACCTAGTTGAGGGACCCACGGACCTCCTGAGGGTGCGAACTGACGCGCAATTCGCATGGAAAAATTTGACCTCGGCGACCTATCATGCCTCAAAGCTTGGCGGGTCCGGCGATCTCCGCCCACCGATCATCTGATCACTCGCCGTAGTTCAATACGTGGCGAGTGATTAGATAGCTGAGAGAGCGTAGTGTGAAGAGGGCACAGCGATGAGAGTCGCATCAATGCTCGAATCAACGGGCAAGGAAGGGGTCCCATTTCTCGGGTTCTGGGCCGTTTCTCATGGTTCTTCCTTCTTTCGTGTACCACTCACCATCCCTAGGTTAATTTGAAATGGGTTGCTTTTTCATCGTGAATTCGTCCTTTAAGGGAATCTAAGAAATAACGGTGGAAAAGAATGCATAAATGCATCGCTGGAGACAACGTTGGGATTCAACGGTCATCGCCTCAGAGAGGGCGATGAGCCGACGCGCGAATAATGCCACGGAAAGATTTGACCTCGGCGATGTACCATGGCTTAAAAGCTGGCGCGGCGATCTACGCCCACCGATCATCTAATCACTCGCCGCAGTTCAATACGTGGCGAGTGATTAGATAGCAGAGAGAGCGTAGTGTTGAAGAGGGCACAGCGATGAGAGTCGCATCAATGCGCAAATCAACGGGCAAGGAAGGGGTCCCATTTCTCGGGTTTCGGGCCGTTTCAAATGGTTTCTTCATCCCTGCTCCACTGACCACCTCTACCCTTATTTCAATGAGCTAACTTTTCATCGTAAATCATTTTCATCTGCCTTTGAAATCCGACCCATTGAAGTGATGCGGTATCTGAGGGCGACTGCGCAATTGCGTGATTTACACAGTCCTACTAACAAGGCCCATACTGGAGATATTGGCTTTCGTTATAGGCTGTTTTTCGGTTGATCATGAGCCAAGAATTGTTCCGCTAGGCTTTGCTAATCGACAAACGCCTCAGAATGACTGAATTGAAACGAGAAAGGATGACTCACGTCTCGTGCTGAAGCGCACGGAGCATTGTGGTACCTAAAATAACCGGAATTTGGTTATACTTTGTGATGACAAAAATTAAAAGTAAAACTGAGGAAACTGAAACGAAACGCGGCGAAAAATAATCGCTTCATCCTCCAAAAAACTTTCACACAATCAGGCTCGCAGAGAACAACCAGAAAAGAAATTGGAAGGCTAATGTTAGGAAGGGTCTCGCAGTTGCTAGTTAAGAATATGGTCGACAGAGTTCAACCTGCTACAGGATTCATGTTCCACTTGGGCAAAAGGGTTATAACAAGAGGAGGGAAGGTTTGGGTGAACAGAGAAGTTGAGAAAGCTGAATAAAACGGTGTAAAGTGGTATCTCGAAAAAGCAGGAAGTTGAGCGAGGAGATGGATAGGGACATAAATTGGACATAAACGCGAGCAAGAAGCAATAACGAGCGTCATGAGAGGTACAGGTAGAAGGATTAAGCAAGATATTGAGTCTCACGAGTATGTGCTCCCCTTCGTACCCCCTCCTCAAAACATGAGCGCCATCAGCATTATGTATGATGAGAGTAGGCTTGCTATACTACCCTGCTCTAACATTTTCGATCTAAAACGACTCAGCGAGTTTTGCTCAGTGGTATATTTCGAATGTTGTGAAAAGACGAGCAAAAGTGGTAGACAAGGCGAGGTGAGACATCAATGGGAACGAAGCTATAGTAGCAATGCTATGATGAAATATGCGCAGGCTGGCTTGTATTGCAACCGGCCCCGCCTCCTTATGATTTCGTAGCTGGGTGACTGCGTCTCGCTCGTCTTACAAATGAGATCTGTTCTCTGGTCTCCTAGAACCTCCTTGTTGCACACTCGTTCATCATGTGGAGAAAGAGGCAATTACTTCGAGTTCTCCCATCAATTTCCTTTGATCTTCTTCGGTGGACCATTTAACACCCCTATATTTTTCTGAGCAGAGACCATATTCTAGAGTAAAGTGGGAGCTTGTAATTATTGTATATTATCAGCAAGAATGGAAAAGTTTGATATACCCGAGCAGGAGGCCGCCGGCGGCGCCCAAGAAGCAGCGCACGCTGTCAGCGGAACGAAGTCGCACCGCGTGACGGCTCGGCCAGACTACTTGAACTCAGCCCTTTAAACTGCCTCTGCGCTGTCTCGCGGGACCCTCTCCTCTCCAAGGCTTAGTCCTAGGGCATTCTTACCCGTAATCTGATCGCCTGTGCTCTAGCCATCCTGCAGGACCATTGTGGAAAAACCAAGTGGTCCGTAAACCGTAGGACGTATAACGGTACATTCCACTTAACTTGACGCGGAATCACTACAGTACGCGAAGCGACTCGTCCGCTGACTCTGCTTTGTTGCGGGATGGAGGCTTCTACGGGTATCCAAAGTGTGGGGCAAATTTTTCATCGGCCCGCGAGATCGTACCCGTGCATATCTCTTGCTTTTGTGGGCAAAGAGGCAGGCTGTTAATCAAAAGCCGCGAAGCAAGTGACCCAGGCGAACCCAGCTGAGCAGAGTTTGCATGACTCAACATGCTGCGCCCCTAAGATATACCATTTCGTCAGCTATCATACGATTATCCGCGCCTTATAGTACGGTTTGAATCCATCACCGTAGGCTTGACCTTGTTAGTGACGAGGCAACAGGTCAGGCAGTTTCGAAAAAAAAATTCTGAGGTATTCTGATAGCAAAAAAGGATAGTTTTCAATTCCAGTGTTTGATGAATGTGATTATTTAATTCTAGCGAACGGATGGCGCTATATTGAGATGGAAACGCCAGTAGCAATGCGAAAGCGAATAATGAGTCAGCTCGATTTATGGAAATAAGTCTGACTGTTCTCTCAACAAAGCTTCTTCTAATTCTCTACCAGCATCGCTAGTACTGGGCAAACAGAATATTGCCAGTTAGGCTGAGGCGTTGAGCATCTTTTACTGAAAATTGAGTTCACGTGCGAAGCTGTATAATAGGGGAACTATCTAGGAAGGCTTGAAATAAAGGGGAAACAATTTAGTGGCTCATCGATCGGTATTTTGGAAGGCTACGCATGTTCTTCTCTTTCTGTGGCGGACTTGAACGCTCCCTTCTGGCTAGTGAGTGAGGTAGCTCGTTCAAAACAAAGGCACTATTTCTGGCTCCAGTGTTATCTGGAAAGCCTTCAAACTAACCCGCATTGCACTTCTCTCAAAGATTTCAACCCTGATACCGCCTATGCAATAAAGACTAATGGCTAGCCCATCGCGTCCCATCCTTGAAAAGAACATTAACAGAAAAACTACGATGCCTTAATCGTTTGATGCGCTGGCCTCATTTCTTGCAATGCCGCAATCATTTGAAGCGTTGGCGGATCTCAGACTGACTCACGATGACTCATGGAAACGTCTGTGATTCAGGCCAATGTGTGTATGAGTCTAGTTGGAATACTGGATCATGAAGAAAGGTATTGAAATGTAAGCGAGGGTTCAGAAATGATCAAGGTTATTCTCGGTTTCAAGGCGCCGCATCTTCGGGCTCGCCCCTGCCAACTCCACTTAGTGCGTCACTCAGACCTGCACTTTCGTCAGGCTACGAAAATGCAATCCTGCAATTGGAGAGCGGAATCTACTGCGGGTGAAGTTCGCCTATTGCAGCTCGTTCCCGCTGCTGAGCTGCACGTTCCCACTGATGCCTCCGTAGGTTGCTTGGCTAGACTGCGCACTCCTCAACCCCGTGACCCCTTGTCAACTCGATCGAACAACGGCTTGTATGCAACAAACTTTGTGAGACGAAGCTTCCCGAAACACTCAATAGATACACTCACCGATCTAATCCCCAATACCAATATTCCACAGGCTCCTCTTCTGGCGCCCTAGGATAAACATCTAAAATAAGCAGTGAGAAAAATGGTGAAAGAGACGGCCTTATTTCTTACCAAAAACTGATTTCTATGTAAAATTTCCGTAATATAAGACCTTATGTCGCCAATTACTGGCTCTGCGAACAACACAGAAGATTCTGGGAGTAAATGGCGGGGGTTTGAAGAAACTCAGCAATTAATTATGTCTCAACCTAATCCATATTGCTTACGCTGCTGATACGTGGGTGCGTCGTGGTCGATGAGAACACCACTGCGTTAGTTTCGTGAATGTCCCCCCCAATCTGTGATCGTCCAACTGCGACGGCAATTGTTAAGATAATCTAAATAGCAGGGTCCCTTATTCTTTTATACAATAAAAATCCTCTAGCGGTTAAGTAGATTTTTTATGCTGATGTAAATAAATAGAGCGTAGAACAACATGAAATCTATTGACACTCCAGACATTAGAATGAAAAAATAAG